GGAGCCGCCGAGCCTGTATCTTCAGGGGTTCTCCCTCAACAGTTTCAAAGCTTCAAGTCTGTGGTGTGAGAGACACAGATCCAGCTGCATTCTCCTGCACATGGGAATCCCAGTCTCTCAGCACTCTGTGCTCCAGAAGCCGTTTGTTCTCCAGTGTGTGTTTTTGTCAGAGTAGCTGGCTTGATTGTGTGGGCTTCTGTCTGGATCCTCTGTTCTAGTCTATGGATCTGCATACCTTTCTCTGCCTGTACCATGCTGGTTTTTTTTTTTTTTTTTTTTTTTTTTTTAGCTTTATAATATAATTTGAGAACAGGTACCTCTAAGCATTGTTTTTGTTTTGTTTTTTTTTCTCCTAAAGATTGCTGTAGCTTTTTGGGGCCTCCATACGAATTTAATTTATTTTTAATAATTCTGTGAAGAATACCTAAGTTTTCTGTTTTATTTTGTTTTAATCTTTTGCAACAAGGCTTTTCTGTGTAGGCTTGGCTATCCTGGAACTGGCTCTGTAGACAAGGGTGACCTTGAACTCAGAGACCTGCCTGCCTCTGTCTCCCAAGTACCACCACTGCCTGGAGAATGTCCAGGATTTGATGGGGTTTGCATTGAAAGTGCAGATTGCTTTTGGTAATAGTCTGATGTTAGTCACTATGAATTCTTCAGGTCCATTTGTTTCTTCCTTCGATGTTTTATAGATTTCTTGTCTGTTCATTTTCCTTTATTTTATTTTGAGATGGGGTTTCACTGTGTGTCCCTGGTTGACCTGGACCTCCACATAGACCTGGCTAGCACTGAACCTGGAGAGCTGCTTGCTGGGATTAAAGGTGTAAGCCACCACTATTAGCTGTTTGGCTTAAAGTTGCAATTGCAGACATCTTTCATATCCTGGGATAGGTTTATTTTTAAGTATTCTATTTCATTTTCTCTGAAGTTATTCTAATTTTCCCCTTGGTTTCTTTTTAGGTAAGTACATGGTTTTTTGTTTGTTGTTTTTGTTTTTGTTTTAAATGAAACAGGGTCTTTCTATATAACATAACCCTGGCTGTTCAGGAACTCAGTATGTCCACCAGGTTGGCTCCAAACTTACAGAGCACCACCTGCCTCTGTTTCCTGAGTGCTGGGATTAAAGATGTACACCACCACATCTGGCCTCGTTTTATCTTCTTTGAAAATAGACTTAGAATGTATTTGTGTTCCATATATACAGGTGTTTTTGTTTTTTTTTTTTTCCCACATGTGTGTGCACCACATGCATACAGTCCTAGACATCAGGTCCCCTGGAACTAGAGTTATAGACAGTTGTGAGCTGCCATGTGGGTCCTGGGAACCAAACCCAGGTCCTCTGCAAGAGCAGACAGTGTTCTTGCCCAGACATGCTGGGCTCTCCAGCCTGATGCACCTTTCTGAGCTGAGGTCTTGCTGTGTTGATTAGGCTGGTCTTGAAAAACAGAACTCCTCTCTGCATTGAATTATCTCATAAGCTTTGTCAGAGCTGACCTTAACGTCAGGCTTCATGCTGGACTGAACTCTATTCTCCGATCTCTGTTTATCCTTCCTTACGCTATGAGCATCGCAATGCTGATTACTGTAGCTTTGTGAGGAGACCTTCTAAAATTCTTTCAGTCTTTTTTCACTGGCTCACTTCCATGTAGTCCAGGCTGGCCTTGAATTCACCGTCTCCCTTCCCCAGCCTCCTGAGTGCTGTGACTCCAGGTGTATGCCAACTCCCAGGCTCTTGTGTACATTTTATGTAAAATTGCATAAAATGGTTTTTCTATTCTTGTGCAGCTCCATGGCTGTGGAGCGCCCTCTCCTGGCGCTTTCCTGTATCGTGTCTGAATTAGTTCCATCATTTCTGAGATCGGGCTGTTTCTTTGCTTTTCCGGGGTAGTGGAGAAGTATGTTGGGAGTGTGGTTATATGTGCTCCATGGTGTGCATATGAACAATTCTTTTTTTTTTTTTTATTTGTTTATTCTATATACAATGCCAGAAGAGAGCACCAGATCTCATTATAGATGGTTGGGAGTCATCATGTGTTTGCTGGGAATTGAACTCATGATCTCTGGAAGAACAGCTAGTGCTCTTAACCTCTTAGCCATCTGTCCAGCGCCTAAACAACTCTTGAGAGTTGATTCTCTCCCTCTCGCAGGGGCTTCAGGGATTGATCACACACCCTCAGGACTGCACAGGAAATACTTTAACTGCACAGTCGCCTTGCTGGGCTCTTCTGCTTTTAAGGCTTTGTTGTTGCTGCTGTTGTTATTTGAATGTGTTTTTGAGATGTGGTTCAGGCTGGCCTGGAACTCCTCATCTTCCTTCCTCAGCCATCCCCGCCCTGGGATTACAGCTACATGCCTGTATAAGCTACACATTTCTGTTTTGTTTTCTCTCTCTGTGTTTGTGTGTGTATACATCATGGTACATGTGTGGAGGTTAGAGAACAAGCTCAGATGTTTGCCCTTACCCTTATTTCACATGAGGCAGGGTCTCTCCTTTTTCTCCATTACATTATGTATGTCAGGTGGGCTGGCTTAGGGGCCTCCAGGGATTCTTCTGTCTCAGTCTCCTCTCTCCTTATAGGAGTTGGGGTTCAGCTTTATGTAGGTTCTGGGAATGCAAACTTAGGTCCTTGCATTTATATGTCAAGTGCTTTATCTACTGAGCATTCTACTCGGCCTGCTTCCTGCTTTTTGTTTTCAGACAGGGTATTCCTTTGTATCTCTGGCTGACCTACAACTTGATATGTAGACCAGGCTGCCCTTGAACCGGGTGGCAGTACTCCTCTTTCAACTTCCCTACTTCTGTCTTTTTGAGCCTATGTTTCTCTGCTTCTGGTGGCCTCATGGTTCTTCCTAAAAAATCATAATATAAAGACAGAAAGGAAAACACTGACCCCTGACCCTTTTGCTGACACAGACCTTGACCTTTTTTAGAGGCAAATACTTACATATTTGGGCCCACTAGTAGTTGAGTAGAATGCATGTCTTTCCCCATCCTTATCAACAGTTTCCAGAAGTTGGACATGGTATTGCACAGTTGTGACACCAGCACTGGGGAGGTAGAGGTGGAGGATGGGCCACCACGGAGCTCACTATAGCCTAGACTGGTCATGGACTTGGGACAGCTTCCTGTCTCTAATGTACTGCCTTCTCCCTCTTCTTCCTTCCTCCTTCCTTCCTGTTTGGTGCAAGGATTGAACCCAAGGTCTTGTTCATGCTGTATAAGTGCTTTACTCTGTAGCCACCCTGCCCTAAGACAGTATTTATGAGATGCTCTTGAACTTGGTTCTGTTGTTTAAATATGGCTAAGTTGTTGTTACTATTATTTATTAATTTTTGGACACAGGATCTCTTTATAGAGCCCAGGCTGGCCTTGACCTTTAGATTTCCTGTCTCACTATATCAAGTGCCAGCATTCCAGGCATGTGCCACCCCACCTGGCTCTTGAGGTGCTGTTTTAAAATTGATGATTTATATCAGTAGTTACTACTTTGTTCAAGCATCCTTGGGCTGGTTGATCTAGCTTAATGGCTGGGTTCAATACTCAGGATAGCCAAAGACGGGGTTGGGGGAAAATCATGGCGGCTCATGCCTGTAATCTCAACATTCAGGAGTTGAGGGCGGGAAGATCAGAAGTTTTAGTGCGGCCAAACCTGAGCTTGGTTCTTGAGCAGTGGAAGGGGAGCGCTGATTCCCTGAGTTGTTCTGAGCGCCTCATACTCGCTGCGGATGTAAGTTACTTTTTGGTGCTGTAAAGAAATACCATGATCAAAAGTGACTTGTAGAAGAGAGGTTGTCTTGGCTTCCTTTATGTTTTGAGAATGGGCTCTCTGTGTAGGAGCTGGCCGATTTTATTTTGTCCCGCTGAAGCTGAGAGAATGAACAGGAAGCGGAGTGAGGCTCTACACCCCCTAAGCCCACCCCTAGTGGCATATGCTTCCGTCTGCAGGTAGTACACCCTCCCAGGCAGCTCCACCAGCGAGAAACCAGGTGCGCAGGATCCCTGCTGTGGCCCCCTCTCTCAGCATACACACAAATAAGTAAAATGTAATTTAAAAAGATAAGGGAGGGGGAAGCTGGACAGATGAGCTGTTAAGAGTGTTTATTGCTTCCACAGAGGACCCTGGGTCAGTTCACAGCTCCTGGGTCTGATGGCCTATAGTAGCAGCGCCAGGTTTGATGTCTTCTCTCTTCCACAGGCACCTGTATTGCGTCACCCATAACCCTGCCCGAACACACATACATTTAACTTAAAAGTGAAATAAATAACCTTTTTTTGATAAAAATTCAGGGCTATACTTTGTGACCTAGGAAGTTCAAGGTCTGAGCTCCATGAGATGACCCCAACCTCCTGCCCTCCTCCCTCTCCCCAAATACCCAGCAGATCCAAAACCTCAGTAATTCAGGGATTGGATTAGAGTCTCCTCTCCGGTGGGTACCTTTTCTTTGTTTTTCATTTATTATTTCTACTCAGTATGTATGTCTGTGAGGGTGTGTGTGTGTGTGCGTGTGAATGCAGGTATCCAAGGAGGCCAGAGGTGTTGGATCTCCTGGAGCTGAAGTTCCAGTTGGTGAGCCTTATGACCTGGGTTCTGCGTATTAGACTCAGGCTCTTGCTAGAGCGTCATCTGTAGCTCTCCCCACCCCCCCACCGCTCTTGAAAGGACAGGGTTCCCTGATGGCTTATTAGTTCTGCCAGTGTCACCGTTCCTCATCCTGTGGGTGAAATTCTTCCTCTCTTTAGCGCACTCCATGTTAAAATAGCCCTCACGTCAAGGGGCGGCCGTGTTGTGGTCAGGGTTGTCCCTAGCACTGTGGTTTGGAGCTGCACAGCTGCAGATTACATGGTTTCCAGGAATTCCCAGCTTTGCTACTTTCAATGTATGTTCCCTGTCAGCCTGTATCCTCTGTTACATGGCCTGTGGGCTCAAAAGAAGACCTCTGCTGATGACAGGACGACAGAATACTGATCAGGCTCTTGAGACCTGTTTTCTTTCCTCTAGGGGAACCAGGAAGTGGGACAGAAAGCGATACTTCTCCAGACTTCCACAATCAGGAGAACGAGCCTGCTCAGGAGGACCCCGAGGACCTGGACGGGGCCGTTCAGGGAGTGAAGCCTCAGAAGGCTGCCTCTTCTACCTCCTCAGGGAGCCACCACAGCAGCCACAAAAAACGGAAGAATAAAAACCGGCACAGGTTAGTGGCAGGGTCCCACCCAGTCCCATAGTTCTCACAACTACTGGGAGGGACTTGGTTGGAATAAAACTGCCTGGCACAGTGGCAGAGCCCTTACATTTTGGGTGGCAGAAATTCTTTTGGTGCAAGTCAAGTGGGCTGGCGTTGTCTGAGGGAGGTGTGGGTGGCAGTGGAGTGGCCCTGAAGGATCAGCGGGAGTCACTAGGATAGAATGTGGCTCTCGGAAGCCACCTAACATTGTAAGCTTTGTGTCCTTTGCTAAGAGGAAAACAGGGACATAGAATTAAGTCCTTGAAAAATGACTCTGGTTATTGGGAAACTGATCTGGGATAGAGAGTTCTCTCAATCCTGGCCCCTGTCTGCTCCTCTGAGAGCTGAGTTGACATGCCTTTTTAACCATAGGTTTGGTTATGATTGTTATGACTTTTCTATTTTGTAGTTCTCTGAGTACGCTGCCTTCAGATTCGGGGGAACTCTAAAAGCTCCTAAATGCGAGCATTCCTTCGTAGGAACCTTCTGAGCACTGTTACTTTTGCAGTGGGGAATGAGATGGGAATGACAGCCAGTGGACAGAGAGGTCAGGTGTCTCAGGGGACTTTAGTGGTCACTCTGCCTGGGTGTGTATGCTAATGCTGGGCCATAACTCAGAGGGTAAGGAAGGATCTGGAGCAAGGGCTCTCCCTCGTCCTGGTTTTGGAAGCCTGAACACTGCGGGGGCGAAAGGGGTGTGCAGGGCTGCGTGGGGCTCCCTGTCCTCTGGTTGGCTAATGAATTATGTTGCTTTAGATATCTGTGGGGTATCCTATCCTGCACCTAAGCTGTTGCACTATGACCTTCATAGACCTGGCACTGTGGGTGTTATAGAATTAAATTTAACTGGTTTGAACCCCTTTGGCATCAGCAGATTCTTGAATTCTTTTAAACTTTCCTTGTTTTTTATTTTATTTTTTTTAATTGCAGAAACAGTATTTCCTCCCAATAAATACTGATAACGGATTGCTGCTTTATGTTTTTTTTCTACAAACCAAAAACCACTGTTCTAATCTCAGACTATAGTGAAAAACAGCAAAGAGTTGCTCCTTCCCACCGTGGTAAGGCTGTAGGTTATGGGAGCGTTTTGATAGGCTTAGAGCTAGTCTATCTCAGACAGCAGAGACCCATACTCTTTTAAAGAGTATTTTGTAGACTGGGAGATGGCTCAGTTTGTAAAGCGCTTGCTCTGCAGGCTTGAGGATCTGAGTTCTAATCCCAGGACCCAGGTCCAAACTCTCAGTGAGTTGTATGTGCCTATATGAGATCCTGGGGCCTTGCTGGCTAGCCAGTCTAAAAGAGGTGATGGGACACTTTTTACAAAAACTGTGGAGAGACACCCAGCATTGTGTTGACACAGTATCGGGTTTACACATATAACACACACAGAGAAAGCTAATTTAGTGTTTTCTTTGGTGTTGCTTTTAGTACGTTTATTTTGGTGATTCTTTTCCTATTTCAGAGATTCTAGAGCAGGGAGAGCATATTGAAAGTCCCTGGGACTCTACATCACTGACCAGTATTCTCTCTAGAGCCTGCTGGTTTCCTGTGATACTTGATTCGCACTAGTGATGTGAGCAGTTGTTGACTGCTAAAAGGGAGCCAGAGAAGCATTTATTTTAACCTTGTCCTTGCAGGTGTCTAGAGCATTTCCATGGGAACAACACTTCTTCCTCATTCCTCCCTTTCCTGGCCCCGGGATTGAATTCCTTCTAGAAACACACTAGCATTTAGAAAGATCATTGTTGGACACTCTTCTGTTAGGGTGCAAGTCCTGCTCAGAAGGTGGACCGAGAGTTTGGTTTTTTTTTTAACTTTTTTAAATTTTTTATTAATTACACTTTATTCATTTTGTATCCCCCCATTAGCCCCTCCCTCCTCCCCTCCCGACTGAGAGTTTTTATATTCTGAATTTGTATCTGTCTGATCTCCTCCCAAAAAGGCCAGTGGTACTGAATTGCTTTCTTAGGAAGCTGGGGTCAGGACTGCCCTGAGTGGCACGTCAGTGGGCTAAGGTTCTTGGAGTCCTGCTACCTTTGCACACTCAAGGGCAGAGGTGGAGCACATTATCTGGACACGCTGGTGAGTTGGCACCCAGAGCAGTGCTTTCTTCTCTGCTGTGTGGTGGCCCATGTAGTCAGGCCCTGTTCACAGGCTGCTCTTCAGCCGGTGGCTGAGGACTTGCCATGTGCCAGACACTGCAGAGAAGAAGCAGCAGGAAGGACTTGAATTTACCCTCTTCTGGAATATGAAAACCATCATCAAATGATCCCTCTCCCTAGTCTGGGGATGAAACACAAAGCTTCGTGCATGCTAGTCACATCAAAATGATTGGTTCTCTGAATTCCTTATGTTGTACGTGCCAGAACGATAGTTAAGCCCCACTGTCTTTAAAAAGAAAAAGTGAATATCGGCTGCTCTTAGAGATTTTCACTATCGCACTGCATCCAAGATTGGTTTTTGTGAGTCATTGTTTGTTTTTAAGGCAGGGTTTCATTATGAAACTGTGGCTGCCCTCAAACTAATTTCTTCTGCCTTGGCCTCCCGAATGCTGGGATTAGCAGGGATTACCATGCCTGCCACCAAACCCAAGTTTGGCTAAATAGATATACTTTTACTTACATATGTATTTAAGCCAGCATGCACCTACCATTGAGCTACACCCCCAGCTGATACTATCTACTTTAATTTGGGAAGGTAGAATCAGCTTGAAAGGAAAACATTGTAAAAGTGCTGCTTGTCCATTGGTGTGTGTGCCCAGGAAGGTCCTAAATGAAATGGTCGCATAAGTGGTGCTGGAGCTCAGCTCTCATCTGACTCTCACAAACATGGTCTAGCAGAACAGCCATTCCAGTATTGCTGTATGCCTGTCTACAGTCTGAAAGGTGCCAGAGGCAGGGAGGAGCTGGCGTTATAGTCCCGGCTGATGCTTGCTTTGGAGATCTGTGCAGACCATGGCCTGTCAGCAGTGACAGCTCAGAATGGCCTTCTCTGTTGTGTGCCAGCAAAGCCCAGTGGCCTTTGTTTTACTTAGTTGCTGCATTGATATAAACAATGAGCTGTCGTATTAGGCAAGGTGCCACTTGCCTGCAGTCATGTTATGTAGAGGCTGAGGCGGGAGGATGCCAAGTGTGAGGCCAGTGTGGGCTCTATTGCAGGACCCCTCCCTACCCCCCAATAAAAACAGAAAAGGAAAATGAACAGTGAACTGCCATCAGAGCGCAGGAGGCACAGCTCATGAAAGAGCAGAGGTTCGTACAGCCAGCAAATGGCTTCCGGGAGGAGCTCTGCAGCAGGACCTGGTGGCACCGGACATGTTTAGAACATGAACTTGAACAAAAAGTTACTTGTTTTGCTGTTTTCAAAGTATAAAGTGTTTTGTCACCTTTTGTTTTAATGACAATATGTTATGCTGACTTCTAGCACCTTCTGCTGTATGACTAAACCCCTCCCTCCCTTTCTCCCTCCCTGTCCTTCTTCCTCCCTTCCTCTCTTCCTCCCTCCCTTTCTCCTTCTTCTTCCCTCCCTCCCTGCCTCCTTCCTTGCCTCCCTCTCTCTCTCCCTCCCTCCCTCCCTCTTCTAATGCACTAATTCTGTTTTCAGCACAGATATCTCAGGAGTGCTAACCCCGAGTCTGGCAGCTAACACCCAGGGCTGCGGCTGTCCCTAGTGCTCTAATGCAGTCTTCCCTCCGTGGTCTTCCCCCACTCTGGAGTACGCTGAGGAAGGGAATCCCCTGACCACAGTCTTTGGTGCTCTGGTGTTTGAAACCTCATGGCTTAAGATTCTTAAAGCTGACTTTGTTTCTACAAATCTTGCTAGGATGGCTAATCGACTAATTTATTCAATTAGTATATTAATTTCTATTGCTTTCTTCCTCCAATGCTGCCCCTCAGCCCGTCTGGCATGTTTGATTATGACTTTGAGTAAGTTTGATTTGAATTAGTGTTTGTGCTGTGTTGTGTGGTGTGTAGACACCGGTATATGCCGTTTTGAGATCTTTCTAACCCATAGTTTATCTGTTTAATTGTAGGTATGTATATTAGGTTAGGCTGGGAAGTTTTTTTTAAAAACAGAAAAACGTGATGGAGGTAACATTTTATTTAATAACTTAAGCAAAATTAAGTAAACTTCACTTTTATGCATTTTAATTTCTTTTTAATTAGATAACCTGTACTTTTAATTCATATTTAAATTGATTTTCTGGCTTTGCTTTCTAAGGAGATTAGTAGTTTAAGATTTTGATATTTTGCTTTGAAAAGATTTAAACATTGAAATTCTTGTAATTTCTTCTGTGTTTCATATCCAGAAACACAAACTCCTAGTCTCTTTGCTCTTGGTCACTGGCTGCCTCAGAGCCTGTCGGTGACGTAGTTACAGAGCTAACAACACATTGACCTGAGCATGCACTCTTTGTCTGGTTTCTCTAATTCTTTATTTAAAATTTTTATTTAAAAACTATGGCTTTTGTAACTGCTATATATTTCCCTTTTGAGTCACCTCAGTTTGCCTTATGGCAAAAGTATGTGCTCATATTCTTAATACTTGCCTAATATCTGAGAACACGACTAAATTATGACATAGTCTAATGAAGAATGTGGTTTTAACTGAGTAGCCTTTGTTATAGCTGTGCCTATGCAGTAGCTGCTTGCTGCCCTGTTTCTGTAAGTTAAAGTGCAAATATCCTCTATTTTTTTTTTTTTTCCTACCACAGGATTGATCTGAAGTTAAACAAAAAACCCCGAGCTGTAAGTATCAGCCAGACAACTCAGGGAGACTGGCAGTGTTTTTGTTTTAAAAGTTTTTGTTTTGGTGGGTTCAAACACAGGCCTCACCCATGCTGAGCAAGGGCCTTGCTGATGACGTATATCGCCCCCCCCACACCAGGGGCTGGCGAGCTTGTAGATGATTGGTCTTCAGAATCTGAATGTTCCTAATCTAGAGTCACTCTGGTTCCCAGAGCCTGAGGGTCGGTCTGGGTACGTTAACTTCTGGGTGCTCTTTACTAAACTACTTTAGAACAGACATAGTGGCCTTTAATCCCAGCATTCAGAAGATGGAGGCGGGCAATCTCTGGTAGCTGAGGCCAGCCTGCTCTACACGGGGGTTCCAGGTCAGCCAGGGCTGAATGATGAGAGCTGGTATCAAAACAACAAAACAATTAGAGAATGAGTCACACATTTTTCATTGGAGAAAACTGTTCTTCTCTTAGTTCATACTAAATTATTAACGTTGTTTCTCTTTTTGCTGGTGAACTAATGAGCAGAATTGACATTTGCATTGATGGCCCTTGTGTCCTCAGAGTTGGGACACTGTACATGTGAAACACATACCTGAAACAGTGCCTTTAGCTACACAGAAATTCCCTGAAATAGTTGTTTATGGAATTTTTTTTTAAGATTTTGAATGTTCTATCTGTATGTATACCTGCATGCCAGAAGACGGAGTAGAGGTGTAGATGGTTGTGAGCCACCATGTGGTTGCTGGAAATTGAACTGAGGACCTCTAGAAGTACAGTCAGAGCTCTTAACCACTGAGCCATCTCTCCAGCCCCCAGAATTTTTTTTTTTTAATTTTTGTTCTATAGGTTTAAATCAAGATTCTACCCAACTGTATAACGTTCTTTGAGTATATTCTCTCCTAAGATTTATGTATGTATGTATGTATGATGTGTGTATGTGTGTTTATGTATGTATGTATACATGTATGTATTTGATCAAATCAGGCAACAAGTAAGTTGTGACTTTTGTTTCTCTCTAGGACTATTAGAAGACTTGCTAGCAGAAGCTTCCAAGCCTGTGGAGCCCTGCTTTCCCTCTGACCTCACAGTGACAATGCCCCTCGCCTGACTGTGGCCATCTGCCTCGGCCCCCCCAGACCCAGTGCCTGTAACTGGCTAGTCTGTCCTAACTGTAGTGACGAGTCCTTCCTATAAGACTTTGGGCCATTCACTGTTGTCACCATTACTAGCAGAACGGCGGGAAGACCTGGCCTCAGCTCCAGTCCCTGCGGGTGGCTAACTGTGCATTTCTCCCTTCTTAGAATGAATGTCTCCCCCCAAACTGGCTGGCACCAGCTCCATCTGTGACCACACACGGAGAAGTGCACATCTCTGATATTTGTGTTAATGCTGAAAGTAGAGCCCAAGTTCCGTTGCAGATGGAGGCTGTAAATATCTGCCATTCTTTTGTTTTGTTTTGTGTCGTATTGTTTTTTTATTGTTGTTTTTACCATCTGATTTTCTTTTGGGACATTTTGTGATGCCTGTACCTTCCTGATGACACATCCTATCACCTGTTTCATGTGGTGTCAATATTCATAACTGAAACTAAAGTGGCTTTTAGAAGTAAATGGGCAACTTGGCTCTTTGGCTTTTTGATTTCTGAAAGGGGAAGGTAGAGAGTACTAATGATGGAGTTTCGTGTTAGAGGAACAAAGAAAGCTGAAAAGCATATTTTGAATCTTCCTACTAGAATAGACACTTTGTAGAAATAAAATTTTTAGCTCCTGCTTCTCATGCGTTCCTTCTAAACCTGAGATTTTTTTTCTCTTTATTTTACTCCTATCATGCCTGTCAGAGATTTTCTTTTTCCATCTATTCTCTTTTTGCTGATATTCACTTGCTTAGATATTGCTCTAAAAATCACCAAGCCAGTGGAAAGCCCAGAATTACTGAAAGTCAGCTTCCATTGAATAGAATGAGAGCCTCCCAGGAGCCAGCAGTATCCAGACGTCTCCCTGCAGAGCTCAGTCCCTGTTCATGTCCTCTGCTGTCTTCAGTGCAGTGGCCTTGGCTGCACATTGCAGTCACCTGGGGACCCAAACCCCAAGACTCTAGGGTATGCCTCAGTTTTGAGGTTCTTCTACAGAGTCCAAGCTGCTGATTAGGAGCCTTCTTAGGGCCACTGTGCTAGAGACTGGGCCATACAGCCTGTTAGGCTGAGGGCTGAGGTTCCGGGCCTTACCTGTCTGTTCACTACTTCCTAGCCCTTTCTAATGTTTGGGTCTTTGTAAGGGACTTGGGCCTTCGTGGTCCTGCTGCTGGGCTGAGTATCGATGGCTGGTGTCTTACTGGAAGGACCCTGTTGGATGTGCAAAAGCCTTTCCTTTTGTTATTAAGTAGGCTCCTATTTTCTTTAGATGAGTTCCCGATCTTTGGCCTTGTCCTTATCAGCAGAACTTCAGTTCTTGAAGAAGTAGTTTATAATGTGTAGATTGTTCCTTGAAAAGGAAAACCCCAGAAGCATTTTGTTAGTTTTTGCTTTGTCCTTAATTCTGAGGAAAGTATTTTCAAGCAGACTTTCAAACATCTGGACCTCCGTAGTTGGCTGTGTGCTAGAGGAATAGTGGTGCTGCTCAGTAAAAGGTGTGTTATTTATTTATTGCCGTGTGGAGAGTTGGATGCAGAGCCTCACCCATGCTAGGCAAGTGACCTACCGCTGAGTACCCCCCAGTCCCTAGGGTGTGTCATGTAATGGCATGTCTGTGTATGTGACTGTCCCTGTGAGTGAGTAGAAGACTGTGGCTTGTGCCCTATTTGCTTTATTTCTCCCCTACCTCCCACTCCCACCCTGTAAGGTCTAAGCATGGGTTTGGGTCTTCTAGTTTTCCTATAAGCTGGCCAGTGGTACTCAGACTCCAAGAGAGTACTTGCTTCTCCTATTTCTGGATAGCTTAGAAAAAGGCAGCAAGGCGACTAGTGATGCAGGTCAATTGATGGAGCGATGGCTGAGCCTCAGCACCATATAAACCTGGGCATGGTGGTGCATTTTTAATCCCAGCTCTCGGAAGGGATCAGAAGTCAGGGTCATCCCAGGCTGCGTGCGGAGTTTGAGGTCAGCCTGGGTTATAAGAAACCTCTCTTTAAAAAAAAAAAGAAGGAAAGAAAGAAAAAGAAGACTAACTCCAATAGGTTCCTGCCTCTCTGAACCATGCTGTGATGGTAATTCTGTCAACCAAGTTTGCTTGCAAGTCATTGATGGAAAGAACAAATGTGCTTACACAAAAGAACATTAATCTTCATGGACAGGATAGCCTTTCTTTGTAGCCAGCCAGCCAGCAGTCCCTAAACTGAAGGGGCAACTAAGGCCCCATACGGTTGTGGGAGGGACTGATTGAAAGGAGTAATCTAACTCCTGAGTCAGGTGCAATGGGACAGGCCTGTCATCCTGACACTAGGGAAGTGGAGGCAGAGGGTTTCAAGGCTAGTCTGGGCTCTAACGAGCTGGCCAGTGTTGGAGGAGGGGTGATCTGCTTGTCCTCTGAAAGGACAAAGGAAAGGCTTGGAGGGCAGCACACTAGGAAGAACTTGCCCTTGACCTCTGGTAGTTGTAAGATAAGACCTGGCCTGTTTGTCCCCTACTTGGAGTACAGCCTGGTGCAAAGCTTCATGGGAGTGTCAAGTGCACTGTTCCAAAGACTGAGGAAGGGGCCATCTGTTTAAACTCAGTGTTCCATGTATCTTGGGATACATGAGAAAGTGGGAAGCAGAGCCAGCCCAGAGTTGGGGTCTGCAGGAGGGACCTTAGGAAGCTTGGGAACTGGGACAAATCCAGTGTGGGCCAAGAGCAATCCTTTCAAAGCCAACGTCCTGACCTCAGAGAGGCCCTGGGTCTCAGGAGCCTTGTGGCACCAGGAGAGGGAGGCCTGTTGCACAGGTTAAACCGTTTCTCCATGTGTGAATTTGTACTGTTTGCTTTCAGGAATAGCTTTTGTTCTATGAGTAGGAAGCAGGCAGTGGGGTGTTCACCTCGAAACGTGAACCCTTTTGGCCCCGGGTGCAGGAATGGTAGAGAGATGCTCCTGTCTCCACCCTTGCGTGAAGGAACCCGTCCTTGTTACCAGTCGCTGTGTGGCTTTGAAGCGCTCCCTGCTTTGGTTTTGGCAACTATTTGAACCTTCCAACCCAACCCTCAGCCTTATTCCAAATCACTAAGGCATTTGCACACTTGCAGATCTTTTCAGAAGCTTCGACTTGATGTTCTGGTAGCAGGAAGCAGAGGGCAGTGCTCTGGGTGCACTGCTTTCTCCTGGCATAGGGCTGCTGGGAAGAGTGCCTGGGAGGGCTCTGTGTATGGGGGGGGGTTCTGGGGGGAGGGAGGAGTGGCAGCAGTGTAGGGGAGGGCATACTGGTCTATCCCTGTGTTCATAACGTGTTCCCAGGTCTGGATCTTTGGGGTCAGTCTCAGGATTTGAAGCACAGGTTTCATTTTAAGCACTGTTCTGTGGAGTCAGTTGTTCCACAGGCCTGAAAGAAAGCAGGTGTGCTGGCATGGGTGCCAGCCCTTGCTCATGTAGCCAAGGGAAAGGGAGTGGGCGTGGATGGCTTGGAGCGTGGGAGGGAAAGAGCACATCTTCAATGTGTTTTCACTTTGGACCTCAGCCTTGTGTACTTTTTCACTTTGAATATGTTGTGTAATACACCTAAATCCTAGTTCATTAATACATGTGGATAATTTATAAATAAATATTAGGTTGAACCACAAGAAGTTGCTGATAGCAAAATTGTTTTCTTCTATGAAAGTGACTGCCGTCATGTGTTGGAGATGTGTGTACTCTGGACTTTTATCATTCAAGGATAATACACTGTAGGCCCCTGGACAGCATTCTCCCGGCTCCATCCCCACCCCCAGAGATGCTGTTTGCAGAGGTGCTAGGGAGCTGGCTCTGCTCTGCCTATTCTTTTTAAAGTGGCTTCTTAGATTAGAAAATAACCAAAGCCAGTCTTGGTTGGGGAAGATTGTTCAGCAGGTGAAGGCATTTGCAGCCAAGCCTCATGACTTGAGTTTGAGCCTTAGGACCACACCGTGAAAGCAGAGAATGGACTCCCTCAAGCTGTCCACTTGTGCACACGTGTGCATACACACACACACACACACACACACACACACACAAATGTAAAAACACACACACAGCCAGGCTGGGTGGTGCACCTCTGTAATCCCGAGCAGCAAGCAGGAAGCTGGGGCAGGAGGAGCATTTCTATCTCGGGCTACCCGGAAAACAAAACAACAAATTTGAAGTATATAGCTGCTTCATTTTTATTGAATTTAATACTCCACCGCTGTGGGCCGGTTCCTTCAGCTTGTGCTCTCCTGGTGGTGGTGACATTTCCCAGCTTTTGCTGTTGGAGTAAAGGCCTTCCATCATTCTGCAGATGAGGGAGGGCTCTGGATAAATCAGTGGGATTGCAGAGTCAAGAGGTGTATGTTTTTTTCTGAGGTAACCTGGAGCACCAGGTCTCCTCCAGGGTTGACACCAGTCATACGACACATCCTGCCAAAATGACAGAAAATTCTTTCGTTCTGTTTTTCGTTTTTATGTTTTTTTTTTTTGTTGTTGTTTGTTTGTTTGTTTGTTTTCAAGACAGGATTTCTCTATGCAGTTCAGGCTGTCCTGGAAATCACTTTGTAGAGCAGGCTAGCTTCAAACTCAGAGAGTGCTGGGATTAAAGGTGTGCACTGCCATGCCTGGCCTAGGACTCAGTTCTTCTGGAATGGCAGCTCACAGTGATTTTATTAAGTATATGTCATTGTATTTTCCTCTTGATTATTTTCCCAGCTTGCGCGCGTGTATGTGCAACACTTACGGCTAAGGGTTGAACCGGGGGATTGACACATGTTGAGCAGGTGCTCAACCACTCAGTTGTACCTCCCGCCCCAAAATGTTTTCTTGGATAATTCATTGCCTGGACGGTCCGAACTTTCTGTAGATGTCTTTGGGAGCTGAGGTGAGAGGACAGCTGCACTCCGTACTGAGACCCTGTCCAAAGCAAAAGCCCAAAGGAGTTTCCTGTCCGGGTCAGTGCTGTTGGCATATCCTCCCAGACAGAGCCTGTCTGCACAGCCCATCTTTTCAAAGTTCATGTAGTTCCTCCTACCCTCTGCCCCTTGAAGGACACCCGCAGTTCGGGGGCCATAGCTCCAAGGGAGGAAGCCACTGGCTCCAGGCAGTAGTAGTAGTAGTACCAGGAGCTGCCAGAAGACGGCAGCAGGGTGCTACATGCCTTGTATGTTGTGGGCTGGGGTGGCTAAGCTGTTCCGCCCACAGGAGTCTCCTTGCTGTTTCTTAAATTGGTAATCAGGTTCAGGAACAGCAGCTGCAGTCTTGAGAGCCGCTTCAGGAGGCACACCCTAGGTTAAAGGCTAGGCCTCTTTCCCCTCCAGGAACTGACTGGAAGATTTACTTGCCAGGCCTCAGATAGCTTGGCTTCCTTAATTACAGGGTCCTACTTCCTGTCTTGAAATCTCCCACACCCTTCCCATGAAGTAGGAGGTCCCTAGGACAGGTTCTTGCCACCCAGTCTGCTATGAGCCAATGATGGAAGATGAGCCAAGAGATGAAGAAACCTGGGACAAA